CAGAAACAGGACAAACAGACGTATAAATGATAAACAAGTAAAAGTAAAAACTTCAAAAGCATGTAAAAGGAACAAATAAACAAAATTATTGATGTCAAATCTGCCCTTCTATGAAATAATAATATAAAAACAACATACAATTTTTGCAAAATTTTCGGATGTATTGATCCACTATAACATTGTCGCGGCTACCTTTCTGTGGCTTAATTTTCGATTTAATAGAAGCAAAATATATTTTGACATAATATAAATAATACATTCCGAAACTGCCGTATTATTACATATATTCGTCATGCAAAGAGCAACAAATTATTGAAATGTTTAAGAATTCCATTAAACCTTTTTGACGTAGCTGCAATAGGAAAAATGTCTGCGCCCACGGCTTCTATCATATATCTTTTAAACAATTCTAAGTTTTATTGTTTAAAAGATTACTTACATTCTTTACCCCGAATGCGTCTTTCCTGCAACTCATCAAATTATGCTCATATCGTTTCAATGTACTCCCCATGCTGCCTAGCTTGTGAAATAGAAGTTGTTTCCTTGGGGTCATTTTGTTCCTGCTGGTTACTCCAATCGAATGAAGCAATTCGCTTCTCACATGCAGCGGTAAACCTATTAAATACTTTTAATGAATACTTTAGAACAGCGTTTTTTTAAACTTAAGAAAAAGCTTGAGCCTACACTTACTGTAGTTGTTACATTTTAATGATTATTAAAACCTACCGATTTTACTATCTACATTAGCGTAGGCATCGAAAAAGTTGATTTTTGTTCCCGTTCGACAGAAGTAGAATCATCATGAGGAGTTTCTATACCTGATAAGTTTTTTGTTATTATAAACATTTTTTCTGTCAAAAAAAGTATCCCTACCTGTGTGCGGATGTGTCTCCGAATCACTAGCCGGTGGCATGCAAATGTTAGAAGGAGCTATAAAATCTTTGGGAATAGTTTTTGTCAGCAGCATCTCCTTTTCGGGAGTTTGAAATTGAGATACTATAACATGGTTATTGCATACCGAATAACAGTAGTATGAGCTAATTTAGACAATGCTGGATTATTTACAACGTCCATCCAGTGTTGAAACATAATCG